AAACAGGTGTAACTCACTTGAAATGGACCGGCGGGGTGAAACTTCGACGCAGAGATTGAACGGACCAATCCCAACCATTCCTAACGATTTTCAAATTTTTCATTTCTGGCAAAATTTACAAAGGCATGGGTTCGGTTTTTGACAGAGTAGAACTTGAATAGATACCATAGGGACCACAAAACTACCTTTGCTTCTGTCAGAAACCACTCCTGTTCACAGAAACTTGAGTTTGAAGAGCTGGTCTCTCTAAGTATGGGCGGATAGGCTACCTAAGGCGCACTGGCTAAGAACTCTGCTGTAGTGGGTCGGCACCATGATATTTAGACAGAGCAACTGAAAAGGGAGTTTGCCCGACCAATCCAAACCAATTCCAGCAATTTTCCAAATTGTCAAGACTTTTAAAAGACATTTTCAATGATAACAAATCAGCCAGGATTTTGACGGAGGAGAATTGAAATCGACAACCAAGAACCAAGGCACCACAAAAAACATCAAAAACCACCCTTTGATGCACATGAAAGGAAGCTCCTCATAGTGTCTGTACAGAGACAAATTGGACCAGCGCTGGTGATTACTCTCATGTCAACTCACCTATTCTTTTGGGTAAAATGACGCCACAGACTTCTCTTGCTCGTGTCAAGAACATTTCTGGGCCGAGTTCCTGCAATCATATAAAACGGTACTTTGAGCGCGTTACATATAATTTACTCATACAGTACACTGTTAAATGCCTCTCCCCCCATGCATCCATAAATGACCATGGTCTTTCAAATAACTAATTTTGGCACTGGACTATAAGCATTAAGTACGAAGGGGCAGCTGCAAATTATCTGCAACGCACATTGATTGATTGTTTGGGGGATTACGCAAATAGTACCCCTTGGTTTGCACCCCAACCAGAAAGTAATAAAGTTTTCTGTTCCACGAGAATAATATAGAGTAAAATATATGATATGTGATAAAACACTGGCAGTTCACCCTTTTGCATAAGTGACCTACAACAGTATTACACAGCATGGATTGGAGGAGTCAACACCTTCTCAACAAAGCTGACAGTGAGCCACGTTATTTACATCACGGGCATCACTTACTCGGCCTCAAAAAATAACTTACAACTTAATTGTAACATTGAGCCACAGGAGAACACTAACCTCCTACATCAATAACCGGAATGGAACAATTCAATATTCCGGACCGGAAACAATCAAGCACTATACCTTACGATTAATATCGAACAGCGGCGATGTCCACTTTAAAATTCTGGTTAAAATCCTATGATCATCAATTATATGAGTAGGTATTATCGGTATTTGGCAGAAACGCCGATCCACACCGATTTTCGCTGTTTGTTTACGTTTCCATAAAGCGGGTGGGGAGGAGGAGAAGGGGTAGGTGACGCGGCACGGCAAAAGGAGAGAGCAATAATTACGGCACACTCGCCGACATATCGTGGTCGCGGGATGTTATTCTTTCCTGGGGTAGGCAATCCCGCCTCGCTTCTCCAGGATGTGATCCTTGGGGGTTGCTTCCCGTCCCGTGCATCGTTGTGTGGCTCCAGGCGGCAACGCCAGGGAAGTGCCATGTGACAATAGTGAAATGAAATGATGAGCACTGTAAAAAAATCAGGAGTAATTTTGTCTCAAATTGGGAGAGTAATTTTTGTCTCCCATTCGGTAATACAAATTTACCCTAATAATGGGTTGGTAAAAAGTAATTTATCTCCCACATTTTTCTAAGAATGGTGAGACAAAATCAGCATTTGGGCAGGTAATTACGCGTTACACTCCCAAAGAGTAAATTTCGCCTACTGTTTGTTGGTAAAATTACCCCTCCTGGATGAAAACAATGTTTTTCACACCCACGAGGGTAAAATTACAAATAGAAGTCACGGAGCACTCCGGAGGAAAGACACTTAGAGCTCGGTCCTGCCTAACGGGAGACAAAAAGGACACAAATTTATCATGGGATTGTAATCAGAATTTTTTGACATTTTTGGGTAGCTTAATATCCGGCGTGCGACGCCGAGCGGACTTATTTCTATACAGTCGGTTCTGATAATACTGTCTGTGGCCGTGTCGGATCTAGCTACAACTGCGTAGCTACAACAGGGGCGTCATGTAGAGGGGCAGCCTCCCCCCTTAAGCTGCCCCGCCGTCAGGTGGGACAGTGCGGTTGCGTACTCGCCGGGCGCTGGCAGCCGGGCCCTCTCCACCGCTCCCGCCCGCTAGTCTCCTCGGTGCTAGTCTCTCGAGGGGGATGGGGGGCATATCCGCGAGTGCCTCGGGTAACTACCTCTAAGCACCCCTCCCGGTGGTGGCGGGAAGTGTTGGGGCTGGAGCTCCGTTTCAGTCAGCGGCCAGATTCGTAACTCTTGTGAGCGCAGTGCACCAGCCATCACCAGGGGCCGCCTTAGATTTTTGGCACCACCGCCGAACCGGGAGAGAGGTGAGCAGTCGCTAAAAGAGCGATACAGCGGCTAAGTCCCGGCCGACCCCTCACCTAAGGGACCCCCCAAAAGTTGTCGCTATCTTTTGATATGTTGTTGTTCCCCGCACTTCAAAACGATCACATCAGTGCACACTGAGAAAAATGTTTCGTTGCAGCCATCAAAATTTTGATACCCACGACCAAATTTTGTTCGGTCAGTCCGGCTTAGTCACAGGCATCAAAATTTTAGTTGTTGTCACCGAAATTTTGGTTGCTGTAACCAAACGTTTAGTTGCTGCGACCAAAATTTTGATGGTCATGACTAATCCGGACTGATCGAACAATTTTTGATCGCTGCAACGAAACATTTCTCTCAGTGCATGTTCCTTGAACATTTTTTTTTCTGTCAGCGACGGCGTAAATATGGTTCGTTCCCTGGAACGGCCATCCGTATTTCGCCTCCCTGGCTCAGTCGGTAGAGCGCCCGCCTAGAGCGTCGGGGGTCGACGGTTCGACTCCAAGCTCGGCAAGATTTTTCGCCCTCCTTTTGGCGCTGGTGTAAGGCCTCAGAGCCGACCTGAACTTCAAGTAGAGTTGGAACACGGCTTACCTCTGTTGGCTGGGTAGCTCTGGTGGCAGGGTCGCTGTTACTGTCGAATGGACTCGGCGCTCGGGGTTGAGGGTTCGATTCCCGCGTACCCCTGATGGTAAGGCCTCTGAATCTGGGTTTCAGTCTTGCTCACCTTGCGACACCCGTAAGTCCAAAAACCAAAAAGTACGGGGGCCGGTTCTGACGAATTGCGCGTCGTAGCGGCCGCTGTGGATAAAGCTCCGGTTCCCTCGATCACCGAAGACGCCCACAGACTAAGCCTGGCGGGCTCCATTCGGGGGGCTTAACTTTTCTCTTCTTTTTTTACAAGAAAAGAAAAAATTACCGTAGTAACAGTCGACCAAAGCAGGCACACACTTGTAACAGTCGACCTGGTCGTGCGCCCGAGTCTGCACTGGTCGGCACGGGGAACGCACGTGAAAGGCACGGGAAACGCTCGGGAAACGCACAGGAAACGCACGGGAAAGGCAAGCGTAAAGGCACAGATTTGCACGCGTCTGCACCGAGAAGGCGTGGTTTTGCACGGTTATTTTTTTTTTGATAGGGGCATGACTCACGCCGCGCCCTTTTGCGCCTGTACTGTATGACTTGCACGCGTGAGAAGGGGTTGCCTAATCGCACGGGGCCAGCAATGGGCAGAGAGCATAGGCAAACCCGCCCGCGGCCGTGCATGCAGTAAGTTACAGTCAGCCTGCTGGTATGATACCGTGAGATTTGTGGAACTCTATAAAATCTGTTTAGACCGAGGGGGCCACCACTCTCTCTTTGGATGTACACATGATTGCAAAGATTGCGTGATTTTACATGATTTCACGGATTTCGCATGTGATTTTAGAAGATTTCACGCTAAAACCTGCCGGCAGATTATGTCTGATTTGAAGG